AGCGTTACGCACTACACACATAGAATAGGCAACCTCATTCACCTATTTTCCCTATTCGTCCCATAATAATTGCCAACAACACCAACAGTATACACTCTGTTCCGACCTGTCCCAGTTGTAGTCGCACTTACACATCGGTGTTGTAGCTCACTTCTCAATCCGTCCAGCTGCGACTGACTAGACAACGCTAGGAACCTGGACAAACTGCCTCCGTCCATATGAAGCACAACAAACCGCAGGAAATCGAAAAGCATACGGCAAAACGATGCAACGACTGGAAAGTTATTTCCAGTGGTTAGGAGGAAGAGTGACCACAGAATAATTAAAACATAGAACAGGCTTCCACTAAGTGTGTGGTGCACTGAAATTATCTTAGTTTGCTGCAAGTCTTCTGGAACTTTCATACTTAAGAACAATTACAAATTCCCTGTGGCTGCATGACAAGTCCCATAAAGTTATACATTTAACTTACAACGCAATCTGTTATTTCCAAATGAACAAGTTTGGAATTCACCACGTCCATTTCTATTGACTGCCTGCCAGACCTACTACAATTGTTTCCCTCTTACAAAAGGCTGTTCCCCCGTCCTCTGAACTGAGTGCGGGGGCCCCCTTCCTCCAAGAATGCCGCCACCCCTTTTGACCTTTTGTTTCCAGTCGAATGCACACTGCTGCTAAAACTAACCCCACCCCCCGTTCGGCTTCCTTGCCTTTTATTCACCTTTTCCCGCATTGCTTCTGCCTCCCCCCCCCACTGCATCAAGAGATAAGTGTTTCAAGAGCTACTGGTTCGATTACAAGTTGTCACCACCGCTAACCTCAAAACGTTTGCACTAAGCGGCCACCAATCCCCCCTTACCGGCGCAGTATTGCCTCTGTAGACCTCCGCCCCCTTTCGTGCTGGTGCTTTGAACCAATGGGAGTCCAAAGGAACTGCCTCCTGAAATCAAATAAAAGTGGCAGTCTCCGCTTCTCCCAGTAACACATACACGCTCCTCCAAGATTGGTTTTAGTCTGAGTGGCATTGTTGTCAAACGTGTGTTGTTCCCTTGTGTAGAGAGTCAGGCAATTTGGCCGACTCTCTTCGTTCTTGAGCGAGCA